ACATTGAATCAAAACGGAAGAAATGTTGAACCAAAACCCATAATGAGTAAATCAATCGAAAATTGACTTTTCTTTCCATCTTATCAATAACAAAAGATGAATAATAGCTAACAATGGAATCTAGGACGTGTGTTTCGTCCTATTTGGGACTTATCAACTGAATGTATCTGCATCTCAGAGTTGATGTTCACTTTGGAACTTGCACCTAGTACCGTTCGCTTCAAATGCCATTGCATTATTTACTTAGCTCGTGCATTACAAAAAATGAATGAAAACCAGGAAGTTGTAAACTATTTTATGGGACAATGGGAATGTGTATCATCGACTGATGAAAACTAAGCTCTTTAGGACATCTTGAACTAGGAGGTGTTCATTGTTTCTTCAGTTCAACTAAATATTCATCATTTGCCTACGGATAAAACAGTTTTCAAAATCACTTCAATAAGAAAAGTAAAATAATTAGCGATTGTCGTCATATCTAACTAATGAATTATATTTTTGAGAAAAAAATATCAGAAGGGGTTTTTGCAGATATTATAGTACATTTTATATTTAAGATTATTAGTCAATTGATGTTAGAGTACCATGGAAAATCTGGAAGCACTTGACGGCCGTTTCGTCCTATTGTGGGACTCCTCAGCAGTTTGCATGGATGGTCCCGCCTCGCCAGATTCAAATCCAGGACCTATCGGTCGCGAATCTCGCAAAGCGGATTCGTTGATTCACACTGCTGAGGAGTCCCGCACTGGGACGAAACTGTCATCCAGTGCTTCTAGGTTTTCCATGGTAGTCTAGCTTCAATTAAGTCATGATCTCAACTATTGAAAAAAAGTATTTCAAAACATGCATGCAATTCATAAATCATTTTTATACACTCATCTAAATTCTGTTATCCTTTGTAAGCAATACATATGTCATTTTATTAGTGACATTACATACGAATTTAGTGAAATACATGGATACATGGAAAACATTGTGAACTCACCCCCCCCCCCGAAAAAAAACGGTGGGAAATTTCTTAGTTAAAATGGTTTTATCAAGTCATATATATGCATATATTGTTGATCAATTTTATAATAACCCATTGAACGATACATTGAAAATAATAATAATGTTTAAGTACAAGTTAGTTATGTAATTTTCTAAAAGAAAACTTAAGAAATATCTTTATTTAGTCATATGTCTGTTATTAATAACATTATGATACAACGTACTTCAAATAGCTGTGTGTGTGTGTGCGTGTATATAGAAAGATATGCTTTCAAAATACCGGTTAGTATTGTGGTGTGTGCTACTGATATCGATAGATATAAGTAGTTTGTATCTTCAGTCGAAAGTGAATTACTTGGAGGCAGAAGGTTAAAAAGATCAAACGAAAGAGAATGAGAACAAATTATAATGGATGTGGAAACAAAAGAACAATGATAAGTAAATTGATCATTGTACAAATGTGGTGTGTGTTACTAATGTCGATAGATATAAATAGTATGTATCATCAATCGAAAGTGAAATGCCTGGCGGTAGAAGATCAAAGAAAATAGCTCGAAAACAAAGAATAATTAGTATGAAGACGAAAGAACAATGAAGTTTGAAACGATTGATTAACATTTTGCACAAAGGAAGAGTCAAGCCTGAGACAATCGACTGATATTTTGCAAATAGAGAATTTACAGTATAGTTCTTAGATTTTAGTAAAATATTCCATTTATTTTGTATTCAAATACATTCGATTGTTTCCATTTGTGTTCTGTTTCACTATAGTATGATGTGTAAAAATGATTTTTCTTTGTTATATTAAACTAGTTACTGAATACATATATTTAAGTAGTTGTGTTACTTGAGAATGTTAACTAATTAAAGTAAGAATGTGGAAAGGAAATGTCATAAATTATAACACTACACGTACTGGTTGAAGTTGATCATTTACTTACACTGTAAAGAATTCACTGATGTCTTCTAAATCTATATGTATGTGATCATCACCATTGAAGTTTCATTAATCCCTATAGTCATGTCTACAACTTGAGAGAATGTATAAAACTTCTTTTTTTTTAATTAAGAACTTTAGTATATTTGAATGTCGACTAAGTGTTATATCTACAAGTAAGATTCTTGATACAGACATATATATTCTACTCTTTCTGAGTTTCTTAGAACTTCCTCGAGTTCATCCATAAAGCATCCTCATACTAATAATGAAATCTAGAATGTGTATTTTGTCCTATTTAAAGCTTAGCAACTAAATATTCATATTGAAACTCAAATATAGTGCATGAAAATTAAATCTAATAAATAAATAAATGATAAATACATACAATAAAACGAAACGGTTGTTCAATGCTTCCAGATTATCAATGATAGTCTAACATTAATCCGTTCATAATCTCAACCAAGAAAAAGAACTAAAAAAATATTCCAAATGAAAAACAAATTCTTAATATGCTCTTTTTTTGATTACTTAATTAAAAACACTGAATAAATAAAGAATGATTCAATGAACGAATCATTTCAATAATATACTTTACAAGGAATTGTTATATCCGAGCGAAGATTAAATCACGAGTAACTTCTGAGACCTATTAATGGACTAATATTATCTATATATTCATATGGTATAGACTATTCAATAATTAGATTATATATATTTATATTCCTCTCATTATAAGCTTTATTTTGACCTATATGTAATTATTGTAGGATTGACTGTTCTTAAGGTATGTTCAGTTTATTGACTACTGCCTTCCACATTCACAGTTACTTTTTGGCTTTATTGTGTACAAATGTTATTTCCTATTTTATGGTGCGTTGCGATCTATTTGACTGATATATAAACCGAGTATGTCTGAAATAAATGATTCGATTCGATTCGCTTGGTAGAAGCTGGTATTGGTGTTCTGGACTCAAGTGGATGGGCTAGGCGGACATAACACCAATAAGGACGCTAGGCTGTTCATACCGGTCGAACGTCATTGTTTTGGCACAGTGCTAAGATTGTATAAGTCGTATTTTGATTAGTAGATAAATCACGTGATAACTAGCCGGACATTAAGTCATAACAGAAATGATTGATCATGTGTGAATAAATAAAAAAAGTGGTAACTATTATCCATTGTCTCTTTTGATTATCAACATGGAAACTGTCATTCAAAGTGTGCAATTGTGTTTTTTATGTTTTTCTTTATTTTCTTTTCAAACGTTTAAAGGCTTTAAAAACATGATTTGTTTATAAATATGAAGTTAAAATTGAAATTTTTATCAAGCGGCTGTTATTTGTTTACATTGTATCCACAAAATCATCTTGAAAATTAATAAATTCTAAAGATCTAGATATGTAACAACATAAGTCTTATGGTTAAATATGATATATACAATAAAATGTATTTTAAATTCACTTGGTGTTGTTTTACTTGTATCGTCCCATTGTTATTTAGGACTGCGATTATTCACTCTCATGTTGGCATATGTTCATCCTGTGCAGATTGCCTTGATATAGTCTTAAGTCACATGCCTTATAAGCTTTTTAAGTGAACATCATTTCTGGGATGCAGATACATCCACCTGATGAGTCCCAAATAGGACGAAACTCGCGTCAAACTGGATTCCGTTGATAGCCACAATTCATTTTTGCTTATAAAGCTTGTGACTTAATCTTGAGACCAAAAACCTTTTTTGTACATTGTAGCTTGTATATAATTGGTTCATTAAAAACTGTAAAGTACTTTAAGTTTTATATAATGGAGTATGTGTTACCTAGTCTGTCGTATGCTCTGAAGGTGTTATGGTAACTTTCGGGTTGCCTGATTTGCCAAGGGCGATGGGTCAGTGCATGATGCTGTTGTTGTGTGCTAGGTTCAAAGAGAGTTGTGTGTTATATGCATGCAAATCCACCCCATTATTGTTCCTACGATGGAACATAAAATAATATTAATATGAAGTGTAATCGAGTGATGATTTAACCAGTAACTGATTAATTCACATGAATAAGTGTAAATTGTGAATAGTGGTTAGTGTTCCTTAAGTCAGTTAATACTTATACATAATTAATGTGACTTCAACTAATTAGTTTATCTAAACACATAAACGTTGGTATAAGGGGGCGTACCCTAACAATGAATCCATTAGCAATTATCATTGATTTGTGTGATGGCTGTAATACTGCTCAAGCAGCCAAACTGAAACAAATAGTTTTCTTAGGGAGCCTACTCCGAGGTCTTTGACCTGAAGGTCTTGTCCACAAAGCAGTGAAGCGTTAGCTTGCGAGACCGAAAGTGCTAAGCTTGATTTCTCAGTATGAGGTTATCGATGCTCACTTCTGAAAAGACACATACTTTGATGAAATGGCCGTCCAGTGCTTCTTACAACCTCTTATTGAAAATAATCTTTTATAAAACTGAAAATACATCTTTCTTTATTATAATAACTGAACAATAACGACCATAATATCAGATGGGTTTTGTGGATATTATAGTAATTTCAATAGTTAAGATCATGAGTCAGTTGAAGCTAGACCATCATGGAAAACCTAGATGACTGTTTCGTCTTCTAAGGCTCCTCAGCAGTGAGCATCCACGAACTCGCCCCCCGCGAGATTCGAACTCACGACCTACTGGTTTCGCGCGCCAGGCGCTTAACCAACTAGACCACTGAGCCGGCATCCAATGGTGTTAATGTCTAACTTCAACTAATCCACAAAATTGAGCGACACATCCACCATTGTCTTCAGTGAGTTACTATCTCACAACATACCTGGTTGAACTCCACTGGTAACGACTTCTCATTAGAACTCCAGGATATACCTCTTGAAGCTAGTCACTAGTGCTCATATGTTGATTAATATCAGATGGGTTTTGTGGATAATATAGTAATTTTAATGATTGAGATCATGTGTCAGTCTAGCTTCAACTGACTTATGATCATAATCATTGAAATTACAATAATAATAATAATAATAATAATAATAATAATAATAATAATAGTAAAACAAAATAAAAAGTACTTACGCAACATCAAGATCTGTTTTTGTCCATGTTCTTGTTTTATTAATTATTTCATTATTATTATTATTACATCGATAATCATATGAATGATAACCATCAGTAATCATACTAATATTATTATTTATAGTATTATTACTATGATATGATTGTTGAGAATCATATTTTCGGAATAGATTTGGTGTAACCGAATGTAAATCATCAATGGATTCTTTATAATTATAATATTCATTATTATTATTATTATTATTTATACTATCATAAATATTATTATAACTGTAACCATGGTTATTACGTAATTCATTAGATATATCATATTGATTATTTTTATTATTAATATTATTAATATCATAATGATTATAATTATCTTGTATTAATGAACGTGGCCTTCTAGGTAATATACGATTAGGTTGTTTCTGATTAATTTTCTTATAGATTCCACTTAATTTTGTATCATTCATAGAATTATTCCCATTACATATATAATGATGATGTAATGATTGTGAATAATTACAATAATCATTCATTGAATTATTAGTATTATTAATATTATGATTATTGAATCCATTCAATACTTTTGTATCATTTAATAATGATTCTTCAGATGGATGATAACTTAAATGACTTGAATAGAATTATGAATGAAAAATAAAGAGGTTATGAGAAACAATATAAATTAAATAGTTAAGAAGTGAATTGAAATAAATTCTGTTTGAGTATATATATATATATATATATATATATATATATATATATATATATATATATATATACCGATAAATCGATTACGTCATTATTACAAGGTTGGTTACATCTTAGACGTATTTCTTGACCTCTATGAATATTACCATGAAAGTATTTGTATTTCACTCTATTACCTTAAGAGAGTTATAGTTACTCCCGCCGTTTACCCGCGCTTGGTTGAATTTCTTCATTTTGACATTCAGAGCACTGGGGAGAAATCACACTGCGTCGAAATCAATCAGTGGACATCGCAATGCTTTGTTTTAACTAGACAGTCGGATTGCTTTGGTCCGTGCCAGTTCTGAATTAGCCATCGCGCGCCAGACCATGGAAGTACAGCCGATTGACACAACATGGATCAAGTCTTCGCGCGTTGCTAGCTGCAAGACGCTAACAACTGAAACCGCCTACGATCGACCCGGGTCAGAGTCCAGTAACCTCACCACAACGCGCACCGAAGCACACAAAGCAGCAAAGCAACCAGCTCCCATCTGAACCAACACGTATCTGATCTCGACCTGTCTGACTCGGTCCCCAGAGTTTTTAATTAATTGGATTGAATCTGACTAATACTTTATGCATAGTTACTTGGGACCAAGTTATCCATTGATATATAAAATAAGCATTTAATGATAGCTCATTTAATTTATTGACTTCAAAGACTAAATACTTTGTCCAAGATCTATTCAAATTTTCAATGATCACAAAGTTAATGTACGAATAAAATTATAAATTGTATGTCTTGTTGAGGATAGAATGAGTAAGTAAAGCACTGTTATACACAGACATACAAAAATGATATATACAATTGAAAATTTTATTTTGTTTATTATTTCACTTAATGATCTTTTCGTGTAAACAGTTTTTAAAAAATGCGTGTTTAGGTACTTTATTGATCATCAAGACTTCAACATCTGGGAGAAAGCATGTGATACAGTGGATGGATAGGATGCAGCTGGACGATCTAGCTCTTCTATCGCAAACGCAACAGCCAATGCACGAGAAGACAACCAGTGTAGTAGAAGACTCAGCAGCATTAGGTCTCAACAAACACATAGGGAAAAGCAAGATTCTCCGACACAACACAACATGCAACAATCCAATCACACTTCACGGAGAAGCTTTGAAAGATGTAAACACCTTTCCATATCTGAACAACATCATTGATGAACACGGTGGATCTGATGTAGATGTGAATGCGCAGATCGGAAAAGCAAGAGCAACATATTTACAATTGAAGAACATCTGGAACTCAAAACAACTGCCTGTCAACCAACAACAAGAACAAAATTTTCAACACAAATATCAAGACAGTCCCACTGTATGGAGCAGAAACCTGGAGAACTACGAACGTCATCATCCAGAACATACAAATGTTTATTAACAGTTGTTGACACAAAATACTTCGGATCCGTTGACCGGACACTACACTATCAGCAACAACCTACTGTGGGAGGGAACAAACTAGATCTCAGTAGAGGAAGAAATCAGGAAGAAGCACTGCAAGTGGATAGGACACACATTGAGGAAAGTATCCAACTGTGTGTCGCAAGGCAAGCCCTCACATGGAATCCTCAATGACAAAAGAGAAGAGAAAGAACAAAGAACACATTACGCTGAGAAATGGAGACAGACATTAAAAGAAGAATGAACAACAATCGGAAGGAACTAGAGAGGAAAGCTGAGGACAGAATGGGCCGTTGAATGCTGGTCGGTGTCCTATGGTACATTGGGAGTAACATGTGTAACGTAAATAAGTAACTTTAATGATTCGGAGATAATTCATTGACATGTATGAATGTCAATTTTTATTTCAATTGATCTGGTTGCACAAATCAAATTTCTGTACATAAAACATGGTCAGCCTAATATAGTTTAAGAAAATATTGTGGAAATTTATAAGACAGAGATTTTGCCCATTTGGTTCCATATCAGTTTATTATTATAGAAAATAGTTTACAAAATGGAATAAATCATAAAGTAAATGTTACACCCGACCATCTAGTCAGTCAATACATTAGTAGTGTGTTTTTGTCTCATTTACATCGTGGAATTACACCTTTTCTTAATTTACCTGTAAAAGCAAGTGGATTAGCAATAACCTTACTATCTTGAAACAACTACTTGAGACGTTTTATAGCCTTTCCACTAGCGAAGGAAGTCTATTAGGGGTAACTGATTGTTTTATTTTTGTAGTTTATCTTTCAGAGACCATCCTAGCTGATTATGAGAAGACAGTATTTGATCCGATTGCTGATCATCTTAAGGAAGTGTCTTACTGACATCATCCTATTCAGTATAGCCAAATGTATGATTTTAGCTTCAGACATCCAAAGAAAAGGAGTTACTTTTAGCTTCAACTCTCTTCGATTAACCTCTATGTCATAGTACAATCTAAAAAAATAAGTGTTCAAGACAACGAAAAATCCCAATGAAAGAAATCACTCGCAGTAGATTTTTTTACCAGAATATGTAACATATAGATAGTGTAATTCACTTGGTATTGTTTTACTTGAATCTTCCCATTGATGTTTTAGGACTGAAATTGATCAGTCTCTTATTGGCATATGTGCATACTGTGCGCATGCCTCGATATTGCTTTAATTTACAAGCATTATAAGTAAAGATCAGAACTCAGTAGCTAAGTGGATAACGTGATGGCGTTTGAAGCGAACGGTAGTGAATTCGAATCCCAGAGTGAACATCAACTCTGAGATGCGGGTACATCTAGCTGACGAGTCCCAAATAGGACGAAACGCGCGACCTGAATTTCACTGCTAGCCACTATCTTTCTTTTCATATATATAGTTTGTTTTCATAAATATTGATGGAATAATTGTATTCAAAATAGTTCTGATCAAAATAGAATAGTATCCATTAAAATAATCTTACCCATTAAAATGATCTGATGAAGATTCTGAATGTAACTATGCATAGATATCAACAACAACAAAAAAAGAAAAGAAAATGATATAAACAAAGTGTATACCATTTAGTAATAAATATAAGTGAAAATTCTAAACCAAAAACAAAAGGATGTTCTTGAAACTTTGTATTATTTAACTGATGTCTTACGAAAGACTTTTTATCCGTATAGAAGTTGTGGAGATTATTAATTTATTGATTGAGATCACGAACCAATTGATGTTGGATTACCGTCGGAAACCTGGACGAAATAGCCGTCTAGTGCTTCCAGGTTTCTAACGATGGTCTAATAATAATCGATACATTATCTCAATCGAAAGACTTTTAATAATAATAATAATAAGTTATAGTTTGTGTGATTAAAGGTAACTAGATATATAGATAAATTTTTGGTAGTTTCATTGCAAAATAATTATGTAAATTAGAAATAAATTTGTTAACTATGAATAAAATGATAAGAGATTATTGTATATCACGAATTGCAATGGCCCAGCTTAGATCGACTCTACAAATTCCAATACTGATAATGATCATATACTCACTAGTGACTAGATTTATGGGGGGATTCTCGGAGTTCTACGGGGAAAGTCGTGATCAGTGGAGTTCAACCCGTGTTTAGTGTGAGACAGTTATCCACCGCAGATAGTAGGTGAAGGGTTGTGCAAGATCATGGATTGATTGAAGTGAAACATCATCACCGTTGGTTGTCAACTCAGTGATCTAGAGGCTAGACATTTGCGCGTGGGACTGAAACTGCCGGATTGAAGTCCATATGGTACGGAGTCGTAGATGCACAATGGTGAGGAGTCCCATACTACGACGAAACGGTCGTTTAGTGATTCCAGATTTTAAATGGTGATCTAGCATAGATCAACTGGTGATTCCAACTGTGAAAATACTACAATCGTCGCATGTCATCTTGTGATAATGAACAAATTTTTAAGTTTTTTAACTTAACAAAGAAACACTGCCAAATATTATATCGACTAATGTACTAGAACAAAATAACTCTTCAGTATTCCATTTTTTGTTAGTGGCTATCTAATGAACCCTTGACCTAAAGGTCTAATCCACAAGGCGTCTTTAGGAAATGCAGTCACATGGTAGCCGGTGGCGAACATCAGGTTCATACGTCTTTTGTTTACTCAGAATTCAGAGATTTTCAAACTTGTTGTTATTGAAGAAGTTAGTATTACTACAGCGGTAAATTCTATGTTAATAAAAAAATAATTGTTTCCATCAGAATCAAAGTTAATTATGTACTGAAATTTTATGTACCGTGAAAGTTAGTGGAAAAGAAACAATGGTGGTAATCCACTTGGTATTGTCTACTTCAATCTTATTGATGTTTAGCAGTGCAATTGATCAGCCTCTTATTGGCACATGTGAATACTGTGTGTAGTGCCTCGATATTATTTTGATTCACAAGTATTATAAACAAAGATAGATAATGGCTCGCAGTGGAATCCAGTTTGACCCACGCTCATCAGCTGATTATACCCAGTATCTTTCGCTTCAAACGCCATAGCGTTATCTACTTAGCTACTGAGTCCTGATAGCCACTTGCTTGTGCACTAGGGTGAAGTTTAAATTCACTTTTTGTTTACTTGAATCTTTCCACTGATGTTTAAGACGAAACGCTTGTTCTAGATTCCACTACTAGCCACTATCCATCTTTGCTTATAATGGTGGTGATCAATAAATACTTGAGATTTTACTTTGAAACAAAATGATTAGTACAAAAGAAATAATCTGTTTTACACTAGCTTCTCTAAAAAAATATTGTATAATGATCAAGTTGTCAGTTTTTATTACCTACAGATAGGTTCAATCAATTAGTTATGTTGACAATCAATCTAGACGTAACAGTTCTATGCTCACTCTAATGTAAGATTGTTGGTAAGAAATTTGAATGATCTAACCATATTAAAGCAGCTTGTTAAGTAATAAGTAGATCATCACGTAATGACAAGTGATGATAACAACAAACGTTTGATCGTATATACATGTCAATTGTTTAACCTTTGTAGTGATTGCATAATTTTCTTTCTGTTTTTAAAAAGAGATTGTTTTATTTGAAAATAACTGGTTGCCATAGATTGCTGTTAGGTGTAGAATAGTTATAAATTAAAAGGGAACTATTTCATTAAGTGACTGAAGATGAAAGGGGAATATGCAAAATTTTAACTTATTCAACTAAAAATGACCTAACTACAGTGAAATCTGATTTTCGATACTTTGGCAATAGATTAAAGTGACTGATGTGTATCGTCGAGAAGTCCCAAAAGTAAATAAAATAGCTATCTAATGATTATTAATTAATTAACTGAGATCATTAGGAGATTTCAAACTCATCTGATAGGTGAAAAAGAACTTTCCAAACCATTTTTATAAAATACTCACTGGTTACATCATACCGCAATATCCTCACTAGAAATATTATTTTATACAGTTAAAATAAAGTAATTAAGATCATGAACCGATTGATGTTAGACAAACATTGGAAACCTGGAAGCACTCGTGAGCAGTGCGCATCCACGATCCCGTCTCACGAGATTCCAACCTAGGGCTTTAAGTCTCGCGCACGAACTCTTAATCTACTAGACTACTGAAATGGCTAGCATCCAATGGTGTTAATGTCTAACCTCAACCAATGGTGATTTAACATCAATCAGTTCATGATCTCAATCAATAACTTCACAACTCTATACTGATAATTGAGTTTTAATACTCATTTTAAACATTATAAAACTTACATTTTTTGTATAATAATGATTCGAATGATAATTATGGTTTTCAGAACATAATAAGTTATTCTTATCAAATGGTTTATTTGAAATAAAATTATTTGAACCATAATGTCTTTGTATAATGATTGGTTGAATAGGATCCTCATCTAAAATTAATAAGTAAGGATAATACTAATTGATGAAGATTAAAAATATATATATATATACCCTTGTTAAAATCGATAAAATAAGGTAACCTGTTTTGGGACAAGGGTTAAGAATATGGTAATGATGGTTTTGTTTACGAAAATGTGACGACGAAAAGCGAATGTCCGACGCTTTTACCGGATTCCAAACCAACGGTGCACATGGGTTCCAGTATCCTGACGGAACAAATGGCATATGGACCAATCGTTGGTCACCGGCTACCATGGGACTGCATCTCCTTACGATGTTCCACTACCTTGTCAATCAGACCTTCAGGTCGAAGGCTCGGGAAGTAGCCACCTAAGAAAACCACCTGCTTCGGTTTGGGCACCCGGGCAGTATCACAGCCCTCACACATATCGAATGAGATTTGTGTGGCGTATATGTATTTGGTGCCTCGTTGTACCAATATCTATGTGTTAAAATAAATAAATAAAGATACACTTATAATTTGGAGATGAATTGTATCAGGAAGTAAAGCTTTTTAAACTGACTGATGTACATAGTTGAATTCATTGAACATAAACAGAAATTAAGTATATAACAAAAGAATTTATCACAGTGCACTAATGTTTCTGTACTATAGGATCAGATTGATAAGCTAGTTGAATACGCGATTAAGGATAGACTTTGACAATTCATGTTCCCCATAAGTTCTTATGATTAAAATATTGCACAAATATGTTATAGATATTACTGAATTTATTGTGATAAGATCCGTTTAAAGTCTTTAAGCCAGTAGGTGGCAATAAAACTATTCATTAGTATGACATTCTTTTAGTAAAACTATTATCACTATTTCCGTTCGTATATATGAATTTAGACCCTGATAAGATTTAATAATAAATTTTATAGATTTATTTAATATATAACACACTTTATGTATGCTCAAAACTATGTGAATCATAGGTAAGGATCTTTATAATATCAACACTAAAAACGAAATATTGACTTATTTTCGGTAAAGAGTTGCAGAGGTTGTTGGGTTTCATTGAAATCATGGACTGATCTAATTTAGATTACCAATTGGAACCTCCACAACCCAAATCTGACAATAACCATGCGCACATTAGTGACTAGATTCAGGAGGAAATCCATACAGTCCTAGTGAGTAGCCATGACCAATGAAGTTCAATCCGTGTTGGGTGTGAGGTAGTTACCCAACGAAAAAAAGAGAGATGATTAGAGTTATACATTCACGTCGTTGGATACCGACTTGATTGTCTAGAGGTTAAATGGTCGTGGACAAGACCAAATCTCGTTGGTCTGATTCTCACGTGTGGATTTGTGAATGGGCACTAGTGATTAGTCCCACACTAAGGAGTAAACGGGTATCCAGAGCTTCCAGGTTTTCAATGTTGGTCTAACTTATCTCGCTGGAAAATTCTCATACAATTATGTTTTTAACTTATATCGGTCTATGACTTCAGTCACATTGGTTTATATTGACATCTTGTGTTGGATCGGATATGTGGTAAATACATTGAAAGTCAATTAATGACTTATGTGTAGTAGTATCTGTAATGCTTAATTGACGCACGTTTCTGATGAGAGTTGAACCTGTAAGACATTATTACTTAGCATTTCACGTTGTAGAATGTTTAGTTGAATAATGCATACTGTTATGGATGTATACTGTCAAGAGGTCAGAAACTGAAATGCAACTGATATTTAGTTATTTATGGCTTTCCTCTATTAATATAAGTCATAAATATTATCTACAATATCCTGATAACAGGATATAGATATATAGTTTAAAGTCAATTTATTGGATATATTACTATCCATATACAGTCATGATAAATGTTAACCTAGTTAAAGATATAATTTAAACTTGAGAATTTCTGTTCTACAATTCTTCCATGACCTTATATTTTTAAATTCACTTGGTGTTGTTTTACTTGTATCGTCCAATTGTTATTTAGGACTGCAATTAATCAGTTTCATGTTGGTATATGTGCATCCTGTGAGGATCACCTCGATATAACCTTGAGTCACAAGCTTTTTAAACATAGATGAATAGTGGACGCGAGTTTCGTCCTATATGGGACTCGTCAAGTGGATGTATCTACATCCGAGTTGTTGTACACTCCGGGACTCGAACCCAAAACCGTTCGCCTCAAACGCCTTTTAGTTTTTTTTCTCAAAGTAAAACATTTAAACAAAATTTACCTGATTTCTTATCTAAATTTCTGTCATAACTATTATGTCGCCATGTTGTTAATTGAACATCATCAACATGATCATCAATATCACCATTTAATTTCTTTTGATTTATATGTTGATATGAATAATGATCATATGGACTATGCAAATAATTCAATTCACTATGTCTCCGATTATTTTCTTTCTCATTTAATTTTATTATTCTCCCAGATAAATCTTGTTCACTGAATGCATTATAATGATTCATCTAAGATTAGGAACAACAGATTATTTGTAAATAATTAATAACAGATTAATTTATAATGATTAAGTGATTTACATTCATTAAGATAATAGGTAATTGTATATTATCTTTGTTACTAATCAGTAGTCATAAAGTTACTGTTATTCTCAATGAAGCATAGGCCGCCGACTAGCATTCTATAACCCATTCTGTCCTCGGCATTCCTTTCTAGTTCCATCTAATTGTTGTTCATTCTTCTTTTAATGTCTGTCTCCATTTCTCAGCGTAATGTGTTCTTTGTTCTTTCTCTTTTCCTTTGACCTTGAGGATTCCATGTGAGGGCTTGCCTTAAGACGCACAGTTGGATACTTTCCTCAAAATGTGTCCTATCCACTTCCAACGCTTATTCCTGATTTCTTCCTCTACTGAGATCTAGTTTGTTCTCTCCCACAGTAGGTTGTTGCTGATAGTGTAGTGTCCGGTCAACGGATCCGAAGTATTTTGTGTCGACAACTGTTAATAAACATTTGTATGTTCTGGATGATGACGTTCGTAGTTCTCCAAGTTTCCGCTCCATACAGTAGTAAATGTAAATTAATCATTCTGAGTGATCTACCATATATATACATAGTTTTATAAAGCTTTTCTATCTCATCTCTTAAATACAGAATAAAGTGAAACAATTCAAGATTATAATGCTGGTCTATGTGCCATGATAAAACTGATAACACTTATATCATTTCATTGGTCTGATGAAACTTAATGAACTATTTTCATTAATTTTTGATGCCCAGTTTTTTGTTTATTTATCTGAACTTCTTTTTTTCTATCATTTTCCCTTTCTGGTTATCTGAAGACTTCTTACTACAAAATTTTATTAATTTTTGATGTTGTTTTTTTCCTCACAAGTTTTCACTTAATTCATATGTTGCAAGATTAACACAAGCTTTCATCATTCTTATCACTGTGAATAAATCTGTCATCTTTATATCAAAATGTTCTATTTACTTATTCTGAACATTTATGAAGCCTAATTGATTGAAGTTAGAAACGTGTAATATCTGCTGAAGGGTACAGAGAGATGTGAATGAATAGAGTTTAATTATTAGTGGGGTCATGTTGATTATTTGCAGAAGAAAACAAATCGGGTGAGTAACATCAAGCATTGCTCTGTATTTTAAAAAATATTATCCGAACAATGGTTGATTTATGACAAATACCTTCATATAAGGCATAAAGTGAGGGATAAACTTGGAAAAATCTTTACGCCGTTTGATAACGATTACGTATATTACTGTTATTCATTAATTTTGCACAAATATCATGTTCTATTGAAAGCCTAGAAAATCCTTAAAAAGCACATATAGTAATGGATTATGAGAATGCGTTAAGAACACATAAATTTAGGTGGAACTTATTGTTGGGGAAGTTAGATTCCTAGAACTCACATGGTAAATGTCTTATTTTCTCTCCAAAAGCGCCCGTTTTCATCTTCATCATGTATTTTCCATTTGAGAGGACTTTAAATATCTTTGGTTCATTGTCGTTTTCAATATGCTATTTTTTACCATTTCCTAAAGACGTTTTTATGCTAAATATGTATGCTTAAGTTGTGCTTGTTGTCGTTAATACTTCTGGTTATTTGTCAAATATATCTTCCTTCTTTTAAACCTGAACTTCTATCTCTACTTAATATCGAATTTGTCAACTTATTTGGTCATTGTGTCACTAGGTTTTCGTTTCATTCTCAGATTTAAATGATCTCATAGTCTTTTCAAACATAACAGTTTAGAAAAAATTTTTTTTATAAATAATACTTTAAAGATAAACAATACTTTACAATTTCCAGATAGTTATTTAAATTCAGTAGTTTAGTGCATTACATATAACATTATTAAAGCCATAAACTAATAGGTTCCAATCACATTATCAATATATATATATATATATATATATATATATATATATATATATATATCAGAAAGGGGTTTTTGTGGAATGAAGCTATACCAGCATGGAAAACCTGGAAGCCCATGGTGATCTAGCTTCAATTGACTAATGATTACAACTATTGGTATATATATACTAGGATTCAGATAGATCTAGCAAATGAACTTCAAACAGAACAGAACTCATACTCTGAATTCCAGTATCACTCATAATCTTAATGTATAAAATGTATAAATATGATATTCATCATAAGACATATAAACAAATAAGCATAGTAATATGAATAATAATAATCATAACTTACACCGAATTCCGGTTTTAATGGTCTAGCTATATGTGTCACATATTCTTCTTTAACTTTTGTTAATTTTATTGGTGTTCTTGATTTTTTTATTGTTGTATTTATATTTGGTGTTGATTTATAATGACCATATTGTTTCAATAAACCAATTTTATTTATATATGATTGATTATTATTACTATTAGCAGGAGTAGTAGTAGTAGTAGTTGTTGTACTAGTAATAGTAGTAGTTGTATTATTAGTAGTATATTGCATAATTTTTTCTGAGGTTGAAAGATCTACCTAAAATAATAATAATAATAAATATATATATATATATATATCCTTATATACATTGAATATATATTAAAATAATGAATATGGATATTTATATCAATGTATAGTTGTTGAATTGTATTAGTAGTATATTAAATGTGTATAAGATAATGATGATTACCGATTGTTTGTTTTACTGGTTACTTAAGCTTGTCATTCAAATTACAAATCACAGTTTTTTTCTGTCAGGTATTTTCTGTTTCTATGTCATTCAATGTATTTGAATACATGAATGTATCTCAATATATAGATATATATATATGTACATATGAAGTACATGTGAACGAAATGTATAATTGAGCTTGATTTAAATATAGATTTACCTTGATTCGAAGAAGAAAAAAAAAGAAAAAGAAGAAAAAGAAGAAGAAGAAAGGGAAGAGATCAACTAGTTTATGGTTTATGATATAAATATGTAGAATAGATTGATAATTCTATAATCCAAATGATTATTCTATTGAAGATCATATGATTTTTGAAAATATATACATTAAAGATTTTGTTAATAGATAAATTTATATACGAATATTTCATTATAATCTCTAGGGTATAAATGAATAATTAATCATTGATCAGTTTAAGAAATAAATTTAATTTAGTGTTCTAAGGATAAATAAATATTTGAGATCATTAGTCAATTGGTACTAGACCAACATGGAAAACTTGGAAGTATTGAACAGCCGTTTCGTCCTATTGTGATACTTCTTAGTAGTGTGTATCCACGATATCGTCTCGTGAGATTCAAACTCAGGACCTATCGGTCTCGCATAAAAACGCTTAATACGTCTATATTGCTGGATAGAATTAAGGATAGTTTCCTTTACTGTCAGTGAACATTTGCTCAACAATCAGTTGATACTTTGAATAAAATAAAATACAATTCATATAGTACCAATAAAATCTGTCAATATTAAAACAATACGAAAACAAAAAATTCATAACAGTTTCTTGATCAAATGTTTATAAATTAGGTGCATTAGACAAATATTGTTAAATATTTTGGTTTCGATTAATTGTAACATTTCGCAAAGTACTTTCTTATATTGATGTTGATTACAGGAAGAAATCAGGAAGAAGCACTGGAAGTGGATAGGACACATTTTGAGGAAAGCATCCAACTGTGTGTCCCAAGGCAAGCCCTCACATGGAATCCTCAATGACAAAGGAGAAGAGAAAGAACAAAGAACACATTACGTTGAGAAACGGAGACAGACATGGGAAGAAGAATGAACAACAATTGGAAGGAACTAGAAAGGAAGGCTGAGAACAGAATGGGTTGTGGAGTGCTGGTCGGCGGCCTATGCTATATTGGGAGTAACAGGAGTAAGTAAGTAATTACGTAAGTTATAATACGTTCATTAAAGTGTTAGTTATTTTACATTTTCAATATTAATTTAGTGAATGAACACTTGAATTGAGAATACCAATTTGTTGTTTAATGCAAAATTACACAGTGCTTTCATAAAATATGAAAACCATACCTTTAATACATTATTTCTACATTTTCCTTCACCTGTCGTTTACATACTATATGATTCTTTCAATTCTGTTGTTCGTATAATTGCTATCTGTTTCCTTTTCTATTCTCCTCAGTTTTCTGTTGGCGTACATTCCACTTCCGACTGGTGCTACAAACTACTTATATCTGTCGAATTAAGTAGAGCACACCGCCCGTTCGTTGCTGCTACCTTGACGTGGTTATCGGGCTTGCCTATCGTAATCAACAAATCCAGCTATATTAACTAGAACAATCGTTCCTCAAGCCCCTACCATGCCTGACAGGTCGGTTGAAGAACAGTAAGACTAAAAGTAGCAAACCCAAGGTCTGAGGGCAAAGTTGCACTGCTTACTGTACAGAGGTGTGACGGCAGTAAGGTGTTTCCCTCAGATAACCACCATAACAGCGATGCTGTCTTCCCACAATGAAGGGTGAGGTTAGAAAATGTTGACCATAAAAAACATCTCACAATGTCCCACGGATTTCCGTCTCCGGCGGCAAGATCCTACCATGTACGGAGCTAACACTGACTGTCCTCAAGCAGTTATCCCTTGGGCATTGCTGTCACGCTCTCAGGTCACTCAAACCACCTCTAACCCAATTTCCTTTTCAGGTATTTCTAGAAGAACCCTCCCATGGTGTGGGCCATCGGGAAGTGATAACCGCTCTCATACCTGTACTATCATTCAATACCACTGTATTCAGAATCAACTTCCCTCTAACTGAAAGTACCAACATAGGTATTTAGAAAGGATAAATAGGAATTGATGAATATTAAATAAATCAACATATTTTTCAAATTATTGAGGTAAAAGTTCCACTACTATCGATTTTACTTTATCCTATCACATGATTTTGAATATTAATATCGATTACATTTTAATGTAGTTCTCAGCACCAATCATGCAATATTTCAATACATTCAACACAGGTTGACATAAATTCAAATTATTGAAAAAATATATTTTGCTTAAACATTTTTTAGTAACTAATAAGTATATGTCTTGATCTTGTATAATTATTATTTTACATTTTATAGTGTAATACGATCTAATTTGCTTATATATAAACCATGTATAAGATGGTAGTTGAAGGTAGTCAACAGAAAATCCTGGACCCTGGTTTCGTGCTACTTGGCACTCGTCAGCAAGGTGTATCTGTAGTCTTAAGGGAACTGATGCTGTCTGACGGATTAGATCTCCTGTCATCCAAATTCATAGTCAGAGATGTTACCACTGGGCTATCCGGGCTGCGACCGACCTACACTAGAACTGAGATGTAATCACAATTGATTGATTCCTGAGTGGTGATCCAAGCCATGTGTGTCAATTCCTTCCTAGTACAGATCGAATGTTATCCGTCAGGAAGCACTAGTTCCCTCAAGATTACAGTTACAGCTTGCTGACGAGTGCCAAGTAGCACGAAACCCGGATCCAGGGTTTCCTATTGACTACCTCCAACCACCATCTAATCTAGTGCATGCAATGTCAAGTCACCTAGACTGGTTGCCACATTACAGCTTGGTCGATAGAATTCGATCTGCACTACGTAGGACCCGACACACATGATATTGATCATTCAATTGTGATAAACCATATAAATCTGAACTATTCAATTGATATGGAGGAGGCTGAAATTGTGTTCTGCAGAAATGGATGAGAAGGATCAGAAAAGACTGAGAATTGACGCAACGTGTCTTGTGCTGATCGACATGTTATTGGTTTAGCACATGGATAAAGTCACATATAAGTCGGTATTCTGATAGGCGGTCTTATCATATGATAATTGACAAGGTGAAAATTTTTAACCATAATATCAAATAATACCTAATGAATATGATGTAATGAATAATTCGTTGTATGAATATTACTTTTTGTTTTAATAAATCAACTTACTTTTTAGTTTTATGATTGATAAACGTCAAACAAAAATTTCATAATTAACAATTTGTTGAATCGAATTATCGTAACTTTATGGTACTACTATTATATTTTATAATTATGATAATATTCAAAATAAACAGAATAATTTGAAGGTTAAGTAATTATAAGATTTAAACATGAATGAGAAGTTAAATCCACTTAAGATTGTTTTATTTGAATTTTATGATTGATGTTTAACACTGCAATTGATCAGTCTTTTATTGGTATATGTGGATACCATGTGTATTGCCTTGATATTAATTTAGTTCACAAGCATTCTAATCAAATAAGAAGGATAATGACTAGTAGTGGAACTCAGTTTGACACGTTTCACTTCGTCTTATTTGGAACACGTCATTTGGATGTATCTGCATCTCAGAATTGATGTTCACTCTAGGACTCGAACTCAGTACCGCTTACTTCAAACATCATCACATTATTCACTTATCTACTGAGTCCTAATAATAGACTGATCAATCATAATGTTAAACATTAATGACAAGTATCAAATAAACAATATCAAGTGAATTTAAACTTCACCCTCAATGCACAAGCAAATGGCTTTAAATAATTGTCTAGTGGTTAAGTGCTCGTGCGCGGAATCAGTAAGTTCTGTGTCGTGGATGCGCACTGCTGAGGAATCCCGCAATAGGACGAAACGGCCGTCCAGTGCTTTCAGGTTTTCCATGGTGGTCTAGCTTCAATTCACTCATGTTCTCAACTATTGAAATGATAAGTTATTTGATATTACATTGTATCAAACAGTCAATTCATATATATAATTATATCATAACTCACCCCAATCTCTTCATTTGAATTGTATCGTTCTATTGTATCTGGAATCTTCCATGTAATATCATTCATTTTACAATTATTATTATTATTATTATCATTATTGTTCAGATATAATGTTGATGAATTAAATTGTTTTATGATAGAATTATTTACATTTGGTAAACTTTCACAAGATATATTTGATAATGGAGATTGACTAATAGATGATTTATAAGATGGAATATTACTATTATTAGTATTATTATTATGTAATTGGATATCTTTTCTATAAGCTGATCTAGTTGTAATTGGTAATTTTGGATATGAATTCATTTTTATATTATTATGATGATTTTCACGAATAATTGTTATTTTAGGATGATGATTTATAGGATCCAATGTAATGGATGTATCACTAAATGAATTCAATTCTGTTTTGATTATTCCAGATGATGATTTACTCAATAAAGGTGATATTTCCATTGGTTTATTATGATTATGATTATTATTATTATCTATAATTTTATGATTAATTCTTAAACTGGAATGACTTAAATCTGATATTGATGCACTTTTAATATTGTCTAAATATTTAGGAGTTAGATCTGAAAAAGAAAATAGTTTGAAAGAAGAAAAAGACCAATAATTATTCCTTATATCAATCAGTTTAATATAGTGCTCATTTGTTTAAAAATTATTCTGTGAATTTTGTTTCTGAAGTATCTGACTTGAGAATCAAAAAGTCGAATGAATTTAAAAAGAGTACTAGTAATAGTAGTAGGTTTGTGATATTAATAAGCCACAATATAGACCGACAAAAACTACATATTCAATAACCTTTGGTGTTTAACTATTAGAGAAAGTATCAGATGGATTTTGTGGATATTATAGTAATTACAATAGTTAAGATCATGAGTCAATTGAAGCTAGACCATCATGGAAAACCTAGAAGTACTGGATGGCCGTTTCGTATTATTCTTGAACTCCTCAGTAGTACGCACTCACGACCCCACCTAGCGTGATTCGAACCCAGGACCTATCAGGCTCGCCCGCGAACGCTTAACTACTGGACCATTGAGCCGACTAGCATCCAACAGTGTTAATGTCTAACTTCAACCAGTGGTCTAGTGGTTAAGTACTCGCGTGCGAAGCCAGTAGATCCTGGGTTCGAGACCCGCGTAATGCGGGATCGTGGATGCGCACTTCTGAGGAGTCACATACTAGGACGAAACGGCCGTCCAGTGCTTCCACCTTATCCATGGTGGTCTAGCTTCAATCCACTCATGATTTCAACCTATGAAATTTGTATAAACTCTCCACAAAACCCATTCTGAGAATCTCATACCATTCATCCATTGAATCCAGGTTTTCAACGATGATCCGGCTAACTTAAGTAACCTCTGCAAATCACCTATACTAATTTGTTATTTTATTTATTTATACTATTAAAATTATAATAATACACAGTAATCTCAATTTTCAAAAAAAAATATTTTCATCTGTTATTTAAAACAAAACAAAAAAACACACACACTTAATTATCATATTATATCTAACTACTAATAGCAATTAATAGTAATATAGCTAACAGGATTTACTAACCAGTTTCTTTGAAACTTGTATATTTATTAGTTTGTTTTATGTTGTGTTCATCTAAATTATAACCTAAATAATTCTTTTTCAATGCTAAATTTGACATGAAACGACTAGATACGACAGTGTTAGTAGACGTAGTCGTAGTCAACGTCATCGTCGTCGTCGTCGTAGTAGTAGTAGTAGTAATAGTATTAACTGTCATCGGAACAGTGGAACTAATCAACTTCCTCTGGAATACAGGTATTAATGAATGATGATTATGAGTATTAAGTATATTATTCTTATTATTATTCCTAGTTGATAGTTTTCGTATTGGAGGATAAGATTTAATATGTTTAAACATTATTTTTTGAGCATTATTATTATTATTATTAATATTCATATATTGATTAACATTACTTTTATCAAATGTATTATGATGATTAGTGATAGTGTTGGTTAGCTGAACTTGTGATGAATGTTTTGATTTATTGATTAAAGTTGATTTCAAATATTGTTCATCATGTTTTATCGATGTTAAAATAGGTGATGTTTGTAATGGTGTTTGTGTAACCATTTTGTTTTCTGATTGTTTTGATGTTGAAATTGTATTTTTTAATGTTGTGACGGTAGTATTTTTCTTATCACCACTAAAGAAAAACAATAAAACAAACGAAAAAAAAACGTAATGATAGAAGGCTGAAATATTCAAGATATGTTTTGTGTTTACTTACAAATAGTTTGTATAATAAAATGAAAATTCGTGATCCTATTAGTGTTAGTAAACGTCTGGTGGTTAAGTATACTATTCATAACGCCTTACTTAAGTATAAAAGAGATGTGTTGCCATATATCTGAAATGTTAACATCTGAGTGAAAGCTTGTAATTATAGTTTGGGCTGTACACTTTTGGAAATTTGTACTGGTTATAATCTATTATTTCAATGGCAGAGATCATGAGTCAGTTGGAGCTAGAACACCATGGAAAACATGGAGGCACTGGACGGCCGTCTCGTCCTATTGTAAGACTCCTCAATAGTGGGCATTCACGATCTCACCCTCCGCGAGATTCGAACCCAGAACTTATCAGTCTCGCGCGCGAGCGCTTAACCACTAAATCAGTGATGACAATGGTGGATGTGTCGTTCAATTTTGTGGATTAGTTGAAGCTAGACATTAACACCATCGGATGCCGGCTCAGTGGTCTAGTGGTTATGCGCTCGGGAGTGAGATTGATAGGTCCCCGGTTCGAATCTCAAGGGGGACGGGATTGTGAGTATGCACTGCTGAGTAGTCTCACGACAGGACGAAACTGCCGTCCAGTGCTTTCAGGTTTTCCGTGTTGATCTAGCTTCAATTGGCTCATGATATCAACCACTGAAATTGCTATAATATCCACAAAACCCCTCCTGAAAACAATTTATTACGTTTTTAGAGGATCTTATTGATTGTTTTATATAAAGATGCCATTACATGCTTTTAGTAGAGTTCGACAAATTCTCTTGCAATTTTTTAATTTCTTGTGTTTTACCTATTATCCTTTACTGTTATTCATTTACGTTCCTGGAATTTTAAGAAAAGTTTTTGGTGTTTTACGGAGAGTGATGTCAAGATTAGAAAGATATGTGTTGAATCTTATGGTGCTCTCATGAATATGCTTGTAGATAAATATCTGAAATATATAAAGATACTGCTAAATGTAGTTTTATCAAACACTAAACGTCTTCTCCTTTCCTACTTTCTAATTGTATGTTTTCATGTAGAATAGAACACAGATAAATAAGAATATATCTATGCGAAAAAAGTAAAAAGGCTCTCTATTACAGTTTACGACACATCTAGTATAAGGAAGACAGGTTTTGAACAAACTAATTACATTCTTGAAAATGATTAAAGAGAATCATTAGAGCGGAGAAGCAGAAATATGTAGATCTCGTAACGACAAGGAAAATGCTGCAAAAGAAGTAATTATGAGACAACTATATGACACAACGGTGAAGGTAGTTGGGACATAACGTAAGCTAGAGAGACCGCTCAAGGACAAAAAAGGCAAACCGATCACTAAGATTTAAGAACGGTGGAACAATTGTGTAGAACACTTTGAAGAACTCTCAAGTAGATCAACTCCATTGAATCCACCGGACATTTGAGTGGGACACAGAGACCATCCTATACTTGTTACTTAACCAACAGTCAAGGAAACCAGTAAGACCATCGGAAAAATCAAGGGTGTGAAAGCAGTAGAACCTGATAACATACCAGCTAAAGCACTGAGGTCGAATAGAGAATTAAATGCAAACATGTTTCACACTGTGTTCAGGAAGATTTGGGAGGAAGAACAAGTGCCAACAGACTTGAAAGAAAGACAATTCATCAAGATACCAAAGAAAGGAGATCTGAGCAAATATGAGAACTACAGAGGTATCACACAACTATCGTTACCAGGAAAAGTTTTCGACAGAGTATTATTGAACTGGAAAGTTTTCAATTTAAAACTAATCAGGATTTTGCACGAAAAAATGTTTACAAACAACTTGTTGAATGAATACACAAAACGGAAGATAAAATTTTATTTGACAGTATTTTGTTTGAAAATTCAGTAACTGTTCGCAAGTGTTTTATGGTGAAAAACTTCCATTTTAAGTGATATTTCAATAGTTCATTTTGTTGAACTTCTTAATCGTGTTGAAATGAAAAAAAGTGCGACCCTATAATTTATGGACAAACCAATTACGTATAAGATAATACGTCTCGGGTTTCAGCTCAAAATTCAGTCATTGATTCATTCATTCGGATAAACCGAGTTTTGCCATTAAAGCTGATGTCAGTTCATGATGAAAACCCGAAATCTAATTTCTATCTTTAATCATCAACTGTAAATTATCATTTGAATCCCTTACACTGGTTTATGACCGTCATTTGATCCTGGTTATTAAGTGGACACTCCCAAGTTCAGTCTGGTGTCGCTCAAAGGTCATTCATAAATTATGGTCGCACCAAAAAATGATACAACGAAATATTTTTCAAGAGTAAAAAATGTGAAATAACAAGAAAACATGAAAAGAGTCAAATCATATGAGTTATGAAATTGTGCTCAAGAACGACAGATGAGTATCTATAGTAATCCTTGTTGAACATTTCAAATATTAACAATAATTGATTACTGATTAGTGACAAATATTTCGATCTAAATCCCTCAGAAAGTATTAATCCTCTCAGAATTGTTGACGTGGCTAATTAAAGAGTAGCGACTAACATGAAACATCATCTCTTGGTTTTACTGTGGAATACCTTTAACCATCTATAACAATGATGTAGGTTCAGACTTTTGACTATTTTGTTTCTAGCCTCTTGAAATACCTAGTGATAGATTTAGGTGAATAACAACATCTAAATAATCCCAGTAGATTTAAATAAATAATTCCAACAGAGTGACCACATTACAATTTAAAACAAAAAAGCACTGGATGCCAGTTTCTTTCTAGAATTGGACTCCTCAGCGATGCGTATCCACGACCCTGCACGTAAATTCGAATCTAGTGAATTCGGTCTCGTGCAATAAAGGCCTAACTTCCAGACCATTGAGCCGTTATCCAACAGTGTTAATGTATAGCTTATCAGTCTTTTAATTAAACGCTACATTTGCTTACTATGCTCTTCTAGTAACCAGGATAAATCTACACAGCGACTTGAATACGAAAGAAAAGGTGTAAAATATAGAAGAAACTCTTTGTTCTAAAGAATCATTTTTGTACAAAAAATCTACGGTATTTATATTATTTTAAATGACCTCGGGCTTCCATAAATTTTTGGAACGCTACCAAACATTGTAACAGTATAGATAATCATCCAGTCACGAACGCTAGGTGGTACTGTTCACTTTCTAGATGTTTCTGTCAAAACGTATGTTAAATACTGATTGGATAAGATGTTTCTTAGTCCTTTCAGAGCCTTTTTTGTCTTTTTTTTCAAAGAAAGTTCTGGATCGCCCCAATACTAATATCAACCAATCCACAATACTGTGCGATTATTCGAAAGCGAGACTAAAGGCATTGAAATTCACATGCATGATTGTGGATGAGCACTGCTGAAGTGTCTCATACAAGAACGAAACAGCTGTCCAGTACTTCCTTGTTTTCAATGATAATCTAACATTGATTCATTCATGATTTTAATATAAATGTTATGATAACAATATTAGGATCCACACTATCTGAATACGTTTATAAATACATTTTTCAGGTAATAAAAACTAATAATGACAACTTGAAAAGAAAAAAAAGATTCACACTTAAATCAATCATGTGAATAAAGTAAATAGATAGAGATTATATTATAGTATTTTAAATACATAGCAATTGATTGATATTTTGGCTTCAAGTACTCAAATTTGAAATATAATATTATTTATTTATTTTACAAAAATCAATATTCAAATATGATTGGTTAAATATAGTATAGATTTAATTGGTTAACAGCTATATATTTCTTTGATGATTTTAATTTTGTTGATTACTCTGAAGAAGTTCAAACAAGTTAACTGGACGAAATATTGAGATTATTTGTAAATTTCAATTGCTGAGATTATTTCAAATATAATTTTCATATATAATAACTTCTCTATACTCGGCACCTAATTTCTGTCAAACTATTCTTTCTAATCTTGACGAATATTCGTACAATTTATATAACTTTAAAAAAGAATAATAAACAATATAGAAATAGATCTCTTAAATGTTTATTAATGTTTTCCATGAAGGTCTATCTAATAAATAGTTTTTAAATACATATAAAACCTTTCAATAGTTGAGATCATGAGTCAATTGAATCAAGACCACCATGGAAAACCTGAAAACACTGGACGGCCGTTTTGTCCTATTGTGCGATAGTGACCAGTGGAGTTCAACCGAGTTAGTTGTGAGATAGTAACTCACTGATGACAATGATGGATGTGTCACTCATTTTCGTGGATTAGTTGAAGTTAAAAATTCACACCGTTGGATGTCAGTCGCCTCAGTGGTCTAGTGGTTAAGCGCTCGAGAGCGAGCCTGATAGGTCCTGGGTACGAATCTCGCGAGGTGGGGTCGTGAATGTGCACTGCTGAGAAGTCCTACAGTAGAACGAGACGACTGTCAAGTACTTTCAGGTTTTCCATGTTGATCTAGCTTTAATTGACTCATGATATCAACCACTGAAATTACTATAATATTCACCAAACCCCTTCTGATACACATAAAACCATTGTTAATCATATGATGAACACCCATATATGTTTATTTAAGAATATCGGTAAATGTCTTGTATGAAAATAGTTTTTTAGAAAAACTAATAAGCATGAATGAACCATTGAATACATTGATCAATTGGCTCTACGTCAAAGTTAAAATGTTTTCTTTCAGTTCTATGAGGCGAAAAAGTGATATATCCCAACGAGAATTATGAAAACCGTAACTTTTGAGGAAACTTTATAGATAAATAACATACGTATTTTCTTAATGTATAACTATTTAGTAATCATATTATGTATATCTATACTCCTCTTATTATAAGCTTTATTTTGACCTATGGACTATTGTGATACGATTTACTATTCTTAAATTATACTCAGTTTATCGATTACAGTCTCTCATGATCACAGCCACTTTTGGCT